AAAAGTGGTCATGTTAACAATTGTTTTAATAAATTTGGCTTATTTTGTATGATACTATTTGGATCTTTCCTTTTCTCACAAACATATTCTCTTTCATGTTTAATTTTCTTTAGATCTTAATATATTTACATACATTGCTTTTACTTAGCATAACTGACAATAATACATAAAACAATTCTTTTTGTATATTTTTCTGTATTCTTAAAGCTAGTCTTCATATACCAATATTTTATTTGTAACCAACAAAGAGAGTTTACATGAATAAGTATTGTGACTAGAGTCACATAACTTCTGAGGGAGGGAGGGGGTGCTGAAAGGTTCTTGTTCTGATCCACAGCCCCAAATATTGAACCAAGTATTTCCATGACTAAGTAATAAAATTGGTTTTGGAAGGATAAAAGAAACTTGTGAAAGAATTACCAAATCTGTTGAATTGTAGGGCAAATATATGAAATACTATGCAAGATGGTCAGTCATTCACTACATAATCAGGTTGAAAAATTTTCAGTACCTGTTTATAGTTTTACATCAGCAGACTTTTTTGGAAATATATAAATAAGTAGAGAATTATATATACATACATATATTTATATATATATATATATATATATATATATATATATATATATATATATATATATATATATATATATGTGTGTGTGTGTGTGTGTAAGAAAATATTTATATTTGGTATATATAAAAAACAAATTAGTACATTTTGCATATGCATAAAAATAGTACTTCATTTAGTATATACTTAAAAGCAATGTAGTACATTTAGTATATGTATAAAAGCAAATTAGTACACTTAGTATACTTCTAAAAAGTAAAGTAAATTAGTACTTTTAATCTATAAAAACAAATTAATACATGTACTATGTGCTTAAAAGCAAATTAATACATTTAGTATATATATAAAAGAAAAAATTGTATATTTAGTATACCTCTAAAAACAAATTAATAAATTTAGTTTATGTATAAAAGCAAATAAGTACATTTATAATACAGAATATAAAAGTAAATTCTTGTGAAAAAATGCCTACAATTGGGAATTTCATGACAAAAGATGGCATTATAAAGTTGATGCAACAATACAAATCACTTAATTTTATAAACTGTCTAAACTTGTAAACTATTCAAATGAATGCATTTTTTGAATAAAAGATTTTTTTACTTTTTTTAAAATTCTCTTTCCTAACATAAAATGTTTGAGTAAGTATCTAATTTAAGTGAAAGTAAGAATCATGTGCAGAATTTATTGCTTATATTGTCAATCTCTGTAAAACTGAATTTTCTATTTTATCTTGCAAAGGCAAACCAAGATTTTATTTCATTGATATGTTTATTTTGGTAAAATATCTCCATCTTAACACCAAAAGTACTTGAGAAATCTTTTTAAGATAAACTTTAGGAAGTATAACAATCTACAAATCTCTTAACTAATATTAATTCTTCTGGTCTATTTAATAAGAATGTAAAGGAAAAAGGAAGAAATAGAAATAGGTGGAGGAGGAAGAAATAGAGTAAAAAAAGGAAGAAAAATATAAAGAGTACAGGTGAAAAGAAAAAGATGGATAAAGAAGAAGAAGAAGAAGAAGAAGAAGAAGAAGAAGAAGATTAAACTCATAATTGTTAGAGTGAATTTCTATTCTTAGCAGCCATTTTCTGCTTTTGATTTGTCAGTCCAAATGTGGACAGTGCAGTGAAAATTATCTAAGCATAATATAGTTTGGGTGTAAACCTATTACATTAGAGAATATTTTCCTTTCACTATTGAAGCAGTAAGAAGTTCTATGAAACAAATGAAACAATGAACAACTAGGGTAATGCAACAGGTTTGGGATTTTATCAGTGGGTGAGGTCATAAACATTCAACAGAGCGGAAAGAGGATCATGACGTGACTTTAATGTGGTAAACATCAGTACAAAATTCACACAACAATAGCTTATGAATGTTCACTTTCTAGGTAAATAATTCAATGCAGCTTTTTCTTGCCGAGATTGCAGGTAGCCATAGTTTCAGCTTTTAATGGTGAAGATTTTGTGACATGGGGTTTCTTCAGTACAAGATATATACGCATGGCTTACATGAGTGGATACTTTGAATAAGAATTTCGATAACTTTAACAAATCCTGGGTAATTTTTTTCCTTTCTTTTTTTTTTCTAGCTTTTAATAAGGATTGACTTATTTATTTCTAGGGCTTGCAGTGAATGTCTATCTGGAGCCAATAAGAACAGCAGGTACATTGCTATTATCAGCTAAATCTTCTTTGGTAAAGATTGCTATTCAAAGATCTCTTTATACACCCCAACCCCCCAAAAAATGTGAAGAATATTTTCACTTGGAACATATGATTGAAGTAATGGATTGCAGGAAGAAGATATTTTTAAATAACAAATATAAATTGTCTAAATAAATACTATTTTTATTATTAAACTTATTTTTACTGCATACTCGTATTTGTATAGACACTCCAGATTTATTTTAAACAGTATTCATTTTATCAACTTGCCTGAGCACTTGAGAAAACTTATTAAAGAAAATGTGCCCTCTTATACGATTCAAATCTGCATTCCTCATTGCAGGAGTAACCACCATCTGATCTGGCAGACTTTAACTGCTTAGCTGTGATAATCTTTACAATAAAGGCAAAAAGAACCTTGCTTGATTGTGAAGCTCTTCATAGCTGATCAGTTAAAGGGGATGCTGGTTCGAATCCCAACCAAAATGAAATAACTCTTTCCTGACATTAATCCATATAATATCCTACAATTTAAAAAAAAATCAAACTGTGTTCCAAAATATAACTTCAACAAAACTACAACATAAAACACACATATCACCACCTCTAATAATTATGTCCACACAAGCATGTATATGCACAAAAGCTGAGTATCATCTACCATGTTTTCAATTGTGAAAGAAGAATAACATATATCATATATTTTTATTATTTCAAAGCTCCAAAGAAAAATAAATTTCGGCATTAGATGATCCATAAGGAGTTGATATGCTGTTAAACAAACAAATCAACCAATCATACATGTGTAGGTGATATAACCTACTAATATACTTTTCACTTTCAACATTCATCATATTTATCTTAATTAAAATACAATTAATACCCACTTAAACCACACTAAAATTTCAAGACTTAAATATACACACAGATGTCACAAGGTATACACAGGACATCCACTAAAACAATGTAAACAAATATAGAATTTAAAAATTGATATAGACATAAACAATAATGCCAATAGATATACATGTGATGTCTACACAACCAATTAAAAGAAAACAAAATTTAAAAATTGAAACATAACATTATTCCACTTCCAAAATTTCTGATGAAGCTAAATAGTGAAGCATGTTAAATTTATTAAGATTTTTCTAATTGTTCTTAATTTAATTATTACATTCCCATATATAGTCAATAAAGAAACTCATCTTTTCTATCCAACTTAACTATAAAAAATATTCAAAAATTATAAAAAGGGGAAAAATAATTTTTCATTTTAACATATGGTCATGAAGAGTATTTGGCATAATATATGGTTAGAGGGCTGATCTTGCAGGCTATAATTAGTAAATTTGGTCTACTAAGTTTAATAAATAATGGAAAATACCTGTGATATGGCTGCATTTAAGCTAGTAAGAAATAATTTTGGCTGTCATTAGTGGATGAACTAGGCTGTTTCTTATGAAAGAAATAAAAAATCAAAAGAAGAAACAAACAAAAGAAGTAGAAACTAAAAGAAACGAGAAAAGAAAAGTGAAAAATTGCCTAAATTAATTATTGAACTGCTGTTTAACAAAGAATAGAAGATTTATCTTGATATTATTGTGGTTCCTCTTGAGAACAAATTTGTTAAAGTCATAGCAACTCTACTAAATAAGTAAGTGAATATTTTTGAAAAAATATGTATTTTTTAAAGCTTTTTTGAAAGGAATTGTATTGTACCTTTTGAAAAGATTTTTTGTCTGTTGAAACTAGGAAAGAAAATGAAAGTTTTGTTGAAAAAAAATTATATAAGTTTCTCAGAGCCTCACATTTTAATTTTTGAACTAGTTATCTTGCCTTAATAAAAATAAAGCACACAAAAGGAAAGTTTTGTGCAATCTTATTTGTAGATTTTGTATTCTGTTTGTTAATATCTTGTCAATAAATGTAAATTTTGTTCAATTTTCACTTTGTATTTTTGTGTCTGGTTTGTTTATGTATTTGCTTTATATAACAATCAAGAAAAGAGAAGAGACAATCTCTTTTCCCTACTTTTGCCATTAAAAAAATTCTTTTATTTGAATATCACAAGAAGTGGTTGTGTGGCCTTAATGTAACTATGCAACTAAACAGAAGGGACCTTACTATACATGTAGAAACAGGCTACTCAGTCACCTGTATATTGCCACTGAGTGAGTTTATATACTGTGTGACATTACTTTCTCTGTCTTTGTGAATGTCACCCAGTATATAAGCTCACTCCGTGGCAGTATATTTACTTTCTCTGTCTTTGTGAATGTCACCCAGTATATAAGCTCACTCAGTGGCAGTATATTTACTTTCTCTGTTCTTGTGAATGTTACCCAATATATAAGCTCACACAGTGGCAGTATATTTACTTTCTCTGTTCTTGTGAATGTCACCCAGTATATAAGCTCACTCAGTGGCAGTATATTTACTTTCTCTGTTCTTGTGAATGTTACCCAGTATATAAGCTCACTCAGTGGCAGTATATTTACTTTGTCTGTCTTTGTGAATGTCACCCAGTATATAAGCTCACTCAGTGGCAGTATATTTACTTTCTCTGTCTTTGTGAATGTCACCCAATATATAAGCTCACTCAGTGGCAGTATATTTACTTTGTCTGTCTTTGTGAATGTCACCCAGTATATAAGCTCACTCAGTGGCAGTATATTTACTTTCTGTCTTTGTGAATGTCACCCAGTATATAAGCTCACTCAGTGGCAGTATATTTACTTTCTCTGTCTTTGTGAATGTCACCCAGTGGCAGTATATTTACTTTGTCTGTCTTTGTGAATGTCACCCAGTATATAAGCTCACTCAGTGGCAGTATATTTACTTTGTCTGTCTTTGTGAATGTCACCCAGTATATAAGCTCACTCAGTGGCAGTATATTTACTTTCTCTGTCTTTGTGAATGTCACCCAATATATAAGCTCACTCAGTGGCAGTATATTTACTTTCTCTGTCTTTGTGAATGTCACCAAGTATATAAGCTCACTCAGTGGCAGTATATTTACTTTCTCTGTCTTTGTGAATGTCACCCAGTATATAAGCTCACTCAGTGGCAGTATATTTACTTTCTCTGTTCTTGTGAATGTTACCCAGTATATAAGCTCACTCAGTGGCAGTATATTTACTTTCTCTGTCTTTGTGAATGTCACCCAGTATATAAGCTCACTCAGTGGCAGTATATTTACTTTGTCTGTCTTTGTGAATGTCACCCAGTATATAAGCTCACTCAGTGGCAGTATATTTACTTTGTCTGTCTTTGTGAATGTCACCCAGTATATAAGCTCACTCAGTGGCAGTATATTTACTTTCTCTGTCTTTGTGAATGTCACCCAATATATAAGCTCACTCAGTGGCAGTATATTTACTTTCTCTGTCTTTGTGAATGTCACCAAGTATATAAGCTCACTCAGTGGCAGTATATTTACTTTCTCTGTCTTTGTGAATGTCACCCAGTATATAAGCTCACTCAGTGGCAGTATATTTACTTTCTCTGTTCTTGTGAATGTTACCCAGTATATAAGCTCACTCAGTGGCAGTATATTTACTTTCTCTGTCTTTGTGAATGTCACCCAGTATATAAGCTCACTCAGTGGCAGTATATTTACTTTGTCTGTCTTTGTGAATGTCACCCAGTATATAAGCTCACTCAGTGGCAGTATATTTACTTTCTCTGTTCTTGTGAATGTTACCCAGTATATAAGCTCACTCAGTGGCAGTATATTTACTTTCTCTGTCTTTGTGAATGTCACCCAATATATAAGCTCACTCAGTGGCAGTATATTTACTTTCTCTGTCTTTGTGAATGTCACCAAGTATATAAGCTCACTCAGTGGCAGTATATTTACTTTCTCTGTCTTTGTGAATGTCACCCAGTATATAAGCTCACTCAGTGGCAGTATATTTACTTTCTCTGTCTTTGTGAATGTCACCCAATATATAAGCTCACTCAGTGGCAGTATATTTACTTTCTCTGTCTTTGTGAATGTTACCCAGTATATAAGCTCACTCAGTGGCAGTATATTTACTTTCTCTGTCTTTGTGAATGTCACCAAGTATATAAGCTCACTCAGTGGCAGTATATTTACTTTGTCTGTCTTTGTGAATGTCACCCAGTATATAAGCTCACTCAGTGGCAGTATATTTACTTTCTCTGTCTTTGTGAATGTCACCCAGTATATAAGCTCACTCAGTGGCAGTATATTTACTTTGTCTGTCTTTGTGAATGTCACCCAGTATATAAGCTCACTCAGTGGCAGTATATTTACTTTGTCTGTCTTTGTGAATGTCACCCAGTATATAAGCTCACTCAGTGGCAGTATATTTACTTTCTCTGTCTTTGTGAATGTCACCCAATATATAAGCTCACTCAGTGGCAGTATATTTACTTTCTCTGTCTTTTGTGAATGTCACCCAGTATATAAGCTCACTCAGTGGCAGTATATTTACTTTCTCTGTCTTTGTGAATGTCACCCAGTATATAAGCTCACTTAGTGGCAGTATATTTACTTTCTCTGTTCTTGTGAATGTTACCCAGTATATAAGCTCACTCAGTGGCAGTATATTTACTTTCTCTGTCTTTTGTGAATGTCACCCAGTATATAAGCTCACTCAGTGGCAGTATATTTACTTTGGCAGTCACTTTTACTTTGTCTGTCTTTGTGAATGTCACCCAGTATATAAGCTCACTCAGTGGCAGTATATTTACTTTCTCTGTCTTTGTGAATGTTAGCCAATATATAAGCTCACTCAGTGTCAGTATATTTACTTTCTCTGTCTTTGTGAATGTCACCCAATATATAAGCTCACTCAGTGGCAGTATATTTACTTTCTCTGTCTTTGTGAATGTCACCCAGTATATAAGCTCACTCAGTGGCAGTATATTTACTTTCTCTGTTCTTGTGAATGTTACCCAGTATAAAGCTCACTCAGTGGCAGTATATTTACTTTCTCTGTCTTTGTGAATGTCACCCAATATATAAGCTCACCAGTGGCAGTATATTTACTTTCTCTGTCTTTGTGAATGTCACCCAGTATATAAAGCTCACTCAGTGGCAGTATATTTACTTTCTCTGTTCTTGTGAATGTTACCCAATATATAAGCTCACTCAGTGGCAGTATATTTACTTTCTCTGTCTTTGTGAATGTCACCCTATATATAAGCTCACTCAGTGGCAGTATATTTACTTTCTCTGTCTTTGTGAATGTCACCCAATATATAAGCTCACTCAGTGGCAGTATATTTACTTTCTCTGTCTTTGTGAATGTCACCCAATATATAAGCTCACTCAGTGGCAGTATATTTACTTTCTCTGTCTTTGTGAATGTCACCCAATATATAAGCTCACTCAGTGGCAGTATATTTACTTTCTCTGTCTTTGTGAATGTCACCCAATATATAAGCTCACTCAGTGGCAGTATATTTACTTTCTCTGTCTTTGTGAATGTCACCCAATATATAAGCTCACTCAGTGGCAGTATATTTACTTTCTCTGTCTTTGTGAATGTCACCCAATATATAAGCTCACTCAGTGGCAGTATATTTACTTTCTCTGTCTTTGTGAATGTCACCCAATATATAAGCTCACTCAGTGGCAGTATATTTACTTTCTCTGTCTTTGTGAATGTCACCAAGTATATAAGCTCACTCAGTGGCAGTATATTTACTTTCTCTGTCTTTGTGAATGTCACCCAGTATATAAGCTCACTCAGTGTCAGTATATTTACTTTCTCTGTCTTTGTGAATGTTACCCAATATATAAGCTCACTCAGTGGCAGTATATTTACTTTCTCTGTCTTTGTGAATGTCACCCAATATATAAGCTCACTCAGTGGCAGTACATTTACTTTCTCTGTCTTTGTGAATGTCACCCAATATATAAGCTCACTCAGTGGCAGTATATTTACTTTCTCTGTCTTTGTGAATGTCACCCAGTATATAAGCTCACTCAGTGGCAGTATATTTACTTTCTCTGTTCTTGTGAATGTTACCCAGTATATAAGCTCACTCAGTGGCAGTATATTTACTTTCTCTGTCTTTGTGAATGTCACCCAATATATAAGCTCACTCAGTGGCAGTATATTTACTTTCTCTGTCTTTGTGAATGTCACCCAGTATATAAGCTCACTCAGTGGCAGTATATTTACTTTCTCTGTTCTTGTGAATGTTACCCAATATATAAGCTCACTCAGTGGCAGTATATTTACTTTCTCTGTCTTTGTGAATGTCACCCAATATATAAGCTCACTCAGTGGCAGTATATTTACTTTCTCTGTCTTTGTGAATGTCACCCAATATATAAGCTCACTCAGTGGCAGTATATTTACTTTCTCTGTCTTTGTGAATGTCACCACGTATATAAGCTCACTCAGTGGCAGTATATTTACTTTCTCTGTCTTTGTGAATGTCACCCAGTATATAAGCTCACTCAGTGGCAGTATATTTACTTTCTCTGTTCTTGTGAATGTTACCCAATATATAAGCTCACTCAGTGGCAGTATATTTACTTTCTCTGTCTTTTGTGAATGTCACCCAATATATAAGCTCACTCAGTGGCAGTATATTTACTTTCTGTCTTTGTGAATGTCACCAATATATAAGCTCACTCAGTGGCAGTATATTTACTTTCTCTGTCTTTGTGAATGTCACCAAGTATATAAGCTCACTCAGTGGCAGTATATTTACTTTCTCTGTCTTTGTGAATGTCACCCAGTATATAAGCTCACTCAGTGGCAGTATATTTACTTTCTCTGTTCTTGTGAATGTTACCCAATATATAAGCTCACTCAGTGGCAGTATATTTACTTTCTCTGTCTTTGTGATTTTTCCAGAGTTAAAATTATTATTCAAATATGTGGATGAGATTAAGAAGAATATAATGATGCAGCTGATGGTAAACCTGAAAGAGGACTCTTCAGACTGTTTTGAAAAGTGGAATGGATGCTGTGTAATAAAGTGTGTGAGGTTTTTGTTCATAGGACAAAGGCACAATTGCCCTGTAGACTATTCAGGATCCGGAACATTTGTCTATGGAACACTGGTCTAAGAAACACTTGTCTAAAGATGTCTAAGAAATATTTGTCTAGAGTATTATAGCCTAATGTGGGTTGTATTAATATACAAACAATGCATGCCAATAAATGCTTATAAACCACACGTATCATTAGTGATTAATGTTGCTTTTAAGTGTCTTAAATATTATTTTGTAATATAGTGAATAAAATTGAGTATTTTGTACATGAATGTTAATTTATTAAAAAATATTAGACCAATTCCATAGACCAATGTCCTTAGTCAGGTTTCCCTTATTAGACCAATGTTCTTTATAGACATTCCTCACCTTAGAATGTTCCTTAGACAATATTCTTTACTTTACACGAATGTTCCTAAATCCAGACTATTCTATTATTTTTTAAATCGTCCTACTCCCCAAAAAGGCGATAATGTTACTAAGGTGCAAAGGTTTACTGAGAATGAAAGAAAACCAGAAGACATTACTGAAGAGAAAGGATAAAGGAATAGTAAAAAATGACGATCTTTATTTTTAAGGCTATGTCATCGCACATGTCTTACATCACCCGTAACTGGAGGCCTATCTCAAATCTCATCGTCCCACTGTAGAAATTCAAAGAAAAATGTAGGGATTAAGAACATAATTAATTTGACTCAAGAAGTTAATCCTCTTTATTTTGGTATATTTTTTCTTTACTACAGCATAATTATAATTTGGCGGAGTTTCGAATCTATTACTTAATTACTTCCCACTCCCTTAACAATGGTGTATGACTACCAAATTTAATAATGCATTTTATAATTTATTTTTAACCTTTGAATTAATTACCCATATTAAAACAGCTTTAAAATTTAAATGAAACAAAACTACGAATTCTGAAACAAAAATCTGACCCGAAACAAACATGAAGTTTTGATTTAATTTAATTTTTTAGAAATAAAATAACCATATTGTTATGTTGACATATTTTGGCATACATGTATTTTTTAATTTTATGGTTATTAATTACAGAAAGTAGAAAAACACTTTAAAAAATGCGTGATTTATCAGCAGGATTAGGATTTAGTTTCTAAAAATAGCGGATTATGTTACTGAATTTAATTATGACATAGTTAAATGATCTTTCATTAATTTTATTTTTGTAGTATAAAATACCAGGTTTTGCTCTTATTGTGTATTTTATTTTTCAACGGTAAGCTAAAAACTAAAATTCAAAAAAACAAATTGCAATTTACTCATAAAATAAAAATTTAAATTTTATCATCAATACAAATAACTAACAATATTACAATAGAGAAAAATATTAATTATTAAATTATTTTTTTTATTTAGTAACAATGTCATATTTAAATAAATTTCGCAATGTAAAAAAAAATCGAATAAGTTTTCGGAAGAAATGTTTGTTTAAAATTAAACAACAAAAACAATATTAAAATTTTTCGTTCTTGAGAGAGACTTTAAATATTTGTAAAAAAAAAGCAAGCCTAGAAAAAAAGGATTTTCTTTGAGTTTTTAAATCAAATTATGTTAATACATAAGAAGCGTAATTTCTCCTTTGTTAAGAAGCAGAACAGATGACACAAAAATTTTGTGTCATGGCAAAAATAAATAGTTGAACCTCAGTGTATTTGCTTTTAAAACTTTCAAAGAAGAATGACTTTAAACGAAAAATGTTAAATTAACTTCCAAACTTCCAAGTAACAAGACCAGGTTTCGTAAATTACATCTTTCTAGTAAATTTCTCACAAAAATGTTTGTTTTTGTAATGAAAACATAAAATAATTTAAATTACAAGTCCGAAGTAAATCTTATACTTACTTCAATTAGTAAAGCTGAAGGTATTCCATCCAACAAATATAAAAACTAAAAAGCAAAAATCTTTGCTCTCAGACCAGTCGACGAGATTTGAGATAGGATTCCAATACGCGGTATGGCCTTAGAAAAGTCGCCATGAACAGGAAGGCAGAAGATAACGAATTACCTTGTAAATTATATTTTTGAAGATTGAAGGTAGCAGGGGATCAAGAAATCGGAAGATAGTTCCACAGGCAAGAAGTGCGAGAAAAGAAACTATTAGAATAGAACTTACGGTTAGCTATTTCAGCAATAAAACGTGAGAATTAGTTGCCAATCTAGTGATGATGGCTGGCCACTCATAATTGAGGATACCCGTCTACTATGGTGGCTAGTCAATCCCTATTCTAGACGCTTGCTCAGGCACATTTGTGTTTGTTCAATACCCACAGAGCCCACCTGCAAATTATACTGCAGCTATGCTGAGCAGACCTTAATTACAGTTTCTGGGAGAGAAGCGTGTTATCTGGTGTGATCAATAATCTGAACAAGGCCAGCATGACCCTCACAATGACCGGAATAATGTAAATAGTGCATAATTAATCTTAACATCATAAGATACACAGATGACACTGTCAGAAAGACACTTAAGACATTTTAAGTATCAGAAAGACTTTAAACTCAAAAAGGACACAGAGAAAAATTTCATACAAGGTAATAATGGAAAACAAGAAGAAAAGTCTTTGAACTGTAAGAAGACAATGTATGGTCATCAGCAAAAGAGGTAGTCCAAGGTGGAAGTTGCATATTAGGGATGTCAAATCAAATCTATGTGAGTACTTTAGCAACAGATGATGAAAAATGTGATACAGAAATCTGAAAGTGCATAACAATAGTTTGATTGATTGATTTGTTTTTTATGACTTATCAGACTTTATCAGGTTATTTAAAGCCACAATATATTTTTGGATTGTAAGAATTTGGTGGGAGATAATAAATTTCTGACACAAGACTTACTATTAACTCATAGCTGGGAGGAGAAGAGGTGGGTTCATATCTTTTCTAGGGGCATTTGCACCTAAGTGAATGTAACAAACCTGACTGGAACTTGAATATGGCTTTCTGATTTCTCATTCTGATCAGTTATCCATTACACCACCTGCATATCCAAGCTTACAACACCTGGTATTTCCAAGCAATCACCCATCTAGGTACTGACCAGGTTCAATGTTGCTTAACTTTGGTCACTGGATGAGAACTTGTATTTCAATGTGATAAGACTCTAAGCCTTATAAGAATAATGAAAGATGTCTTCTAGAAGATAAACAAAGTATTAAGGCAGGGAAATATCATTAGAAAAAGAGTTCTGAGTGTAATATCTAATTGTCTATATGGTAGTGAATACCAGACAACCTCCTCACAGATGAAAAAGCAACAGAGATGTGGTTATACCAATGAATGCTAAGAAACCCATAGAGAGAACATAGGAGTAATGAGGAAGTCTTAAGGAAAATAAGAACAAGTAAACTTATATTTACAGTCAGAAAGAGTTGAAATTTTTGGGACATGTAATGAAGATTTGTTGATTTGTTTGACAGTTTATCAACCCTTGGTAGCTTATTTAAAGCCAAAACATATTGCAAATTATAAGAAGTTGTTTACAGTACCAAGTGATCCCTGATTTAAGTACTGAGTGTGCTCAATGCTGCTTAACTTTGGTGATTGAACAAGAAATGATGTTTTCAGTGTGGTTTGACTGTAGGCCATATAAAAAGAAAAAAAGCTTGGAGACTTTAACACTCACTGGATTTACTCAAGGCAGGGAGAAGCAGTCGGGGGTGGACAGCAAATGACCTACTTAACAAGGTTGTTTGAATGGATGACAGAACAAGGACAAAAATTAAAGGGTCAAAAATTACTTACAGAAACAAATGACAGAAACTTGTGGAGAATCATGATTGACTACATTCTGAAAAAAAACTGGGACATAAAAGAAGAATCAGCATCATCATCATCATAGCTATATTTTTTTAAGGCAGGACTGGGATTAATTTCACACAAAGCAAGGTGTGTCCTGTCTAACAAAGAAATTCTTGTCATAATGATTTGAGGCAAGATTTTACAAGGCCCAGATGCTTATATATATATATATATATATATATATATATATATATAGTCAACTCTCCCGTTGAATTCAGCGTATGAGGGTCAAGCAGATCAGTTTCCAGGAAACCGACAGCCCGACAACAACACATGAGATTTGATTATATATATATATAAGGCATATATATATATATCATCATCATCATCATCATAGCATCATCATCATAGTCATGTTTTTTTTTTGAGGCTGGACCGGGATTGGTCTTACACAAAGCAAGGTGGATCCTGTCTGACAAAGAATCTTTTGTCATGATGATTGGAGGCAAGGTTTTACAAGGCCGGATGCATTTCCTAACACCCAACTCAGACTCTCCAAACTTGAGTGAGTGATTTTATCAAGAAGACCAATTACAGGAAGGTTGCTATATATATATATATATATATATATATATATATATATATATATATATATATATTTTTCAATTGTTAGATTAAGCTTTGAACCGTTGTATCTTAGAAATGATTAAAAAATATTTTACTGGAATTCTCCGAGGTTTTTCTAACACTATTGGTTTCTACTTTGAGCAATTAGAATGTATAATTATTCTCCAAGCTTAACAGAAGAATCATGACGAAATCAATCATAAACAAAAATGACATATGCATCATTAAT